GTCTAAAAGGAGTCAGTCACTGACTGGCCTGCAGACTAATGCCCAGAGAGAAGGAGGCTACTCTAAACACGTGTGCAGGGGGTGGGCAGGTTTATACCACCGTTTCAATAGACACTGCAGGACCACGGCCATTATCCTACAGGCCAAACTGAAGACAGACCCAAAGGCTCCCCGGCACCTGAAAAAAGATGGATCCACAGGAAGAACCCTTAAGTCTCCCGGGCTCATTTAGTTGTGGACCAAGGGTGGAAAAAACAAATCTGTGGCCTGAGCTTCAGTCAGTCAGGGGACATTAGTTGTAAGTAATTTCTTAATGTCTTTCTCCAAACCTTAATGAATGATAACCATTTTGCAAATTAAATCTTGCAGGTATTTAAAGGGGAAAAAAATAGACAAGTTAATCACTAGATTAATAAGGCAATTGTTACACATTTTTTTCTGCACTACTAGATTCTATGATTAATTCTGAACCCAAGAAACTTTTGTAGGATATGTGCAATATATAGTTTAATATAATATAGTTTATGTCTCAACCAAATGTAACTACAAATAATGTGATACATGCTAATTAGCAATGAGTTCCTACAAAAGAGATCCCTCTTAATTATATCTTGTGTATCCAGGGACATAAGCTGAAAGTAAAAGAAATGCTTATTATACAATGTTTCTCCCACTGAATATTTGTTATTATTACAGTAATTGCTAGGAAATCTTAATGGCATCATATGCAAACTTGTTTTCTGTCTATAAAATCTTTGCTTTTAATGTACTATTATCCTCATCTCCTCATAAACATAAGGTTCCTCCCACTATGGCCTGCCTACTGGGCAACAGCAACATATGAGACTATAGATTCATGTGGGGTGGGGGTTTGGTTTTGGTTTTGGTTGTTTGGATTTTTGAGACAAGCTCTTGCTATGTAGTCCAGGCTGGACTTCATCTCACCATATAGCTTAGGATGGCCTCAGACTCCTTGCCTCAGCTTCCCATAAGCTAGGATTACAGGTATGCACCACCACACCCAGCTTACTGTTTCAAATTATGAAAAAACTAGAACAAGGAAGCAAAACTGGGGTTTCTTAGCAATTAATATTCATTACTAAATTATCAGTACTATTTATCTGTAAAGAATACTATAAATTTGAGATCTGATCAAGAAAAAAAATCATCTTTAACTTTGATTCCATTGTCCATTTTCCTTGAATTTTGACTTATTGGTTGTTTTTTTCAATATTAAACAACAGGCATTTCGCATGCAAAAGAAAAAAGATCAAATACAAGCCATGTGAAAATGATTATTACCTGTGGTCTTGTCTGATACTCTCCTTTTTAGAAGAATAATGGTTACAAATAATATTTTAAAGTTGTTATTATACAAAGTAAAACTGGTATTAAGAAGTTGGATTAAATTTTTCTGCATCTCTTCCAAAACCACTAGGGAGACATTGAAACTTTTCAACTCCTCAGCCAATCACTGGGCTAAAAATATTCTGAAGTCCTGCTTTACTGTGGCCTCAAAAGGAGCTGGGAAGGGACCAAGCTGTTAGTCCCCTGAAGTTTCTCATGTTTCAAATAATGAGATGGACATCCCATTGTTCACCCAGTGCCCAAAGACTACATAAGTTATTGGGCTTTTTTACCCCTCCCCTACTTGTTCAAAAACTTTTTGAGCCAGCGTTGAGCCTTTGGAAATAAGGATTCTACAAAATATATTATGAATTAACACTATACATTTCTCAAAGCCAACATTCTGAAATGTGTAAATTTATAATTAGATTTGGGGGGCCAGGGATTTAGCTCAGTGGTTCTGCTGCCTGCTTCACAATCCCAAGGTCCCGAGTTCAATCCCAGGTA